CCATTTTGTAGCCTCGGCACTTACGCGCTGCAATTGCTGCTTCTTCAGGAGATGATCCGAGCTCATTTTTCCAGGCGCCGTCTTCTTCTTTACCCCCCTGAGAGACTGGGAGATTTTTTTTTTTTAAGTACAAAGTGATCCATTGCTGAAGTGGATTGCAAGCGAGCTAACTCTAACCTAAGGCGCTTTCAGAAATTCACTTTGACGCCCGTGCACTACTCAGAGTAGGTGTGTTCGGAGAGGTCGTGCGCTCCAATCTCATTAATTTCCGAATGCAGCCAGCACTGCCGCACCGTGTCTCTGGTCGGAGCACCTCGTGCCTACCGCCGCTATTGGTGCACTCTGAATAGCCAAACAACAAATTTAAGTTTCCTATTGCACCAACACCGGCTCTGAGATTATTTTTTAATGTGCCGCTAATGTGCAAGTAACTGCTTCTAAACTTAAAATAAACATACAATTAAACAAATAAAAACATAAATTGATGGGGGGGACTGAACGTGGGGTGGACAGATTTCTGCAAGGCTGTAGACCAGGGGTGTCAAACATACGGCCCGCGGGCCGGAACCGGCCCACGAGGGGGTTCGATCAAGCCCACGGGATAATTTAAAAATGAAAAAATGCATAAAAGACACGGAACGAATATTTTTAATAAGATGCAATTCATGTATTATCCGCTAAGGGGGACACTGTTTTCTCTTTAGTTTGTAAAGTGTAGGCGGGGGTTACATTTAGATTTCATATGCACATGAGTAAATGGTTTAAAAAAATCCTTTCTTGATAAATCTCATTTAATCTTAAAATGCATGACTATATTTTTAAATTCTAATTGTTCAAGTTTTGTGCCTTTGTACAACAGTGAGATCAGTTGCACTGCATATATGTGAATGATAAAAGTAAATTGCACATTTGTCGAAGGAAATCTAAGGTGTTTTATGAAATGTTAGGTAAATGAAATGTAGGTACCTTTCAACATTTTCCTCATGTTCTTGTGCTTCGCTATCTCAAAACAAAGGAAAGGCATGATATTTTGGTTATTTATAGCAGAGTATGGTATAATTTTAATGGTCTGGCCCACTTTACGTTGACCAAGGCCGTATGCGGCCCACAATATGAAATGAGTTTGACACCCCTGCTATAGACCTTCCTCAACCAGCCCCAGTGTAGTGCCATGTGCTGAGAGGGTGAGAGCAGTGCACAAGTGAGTATGCACGCAGCAGCTTAAAGCGAATATTCAGTTGCAAGAAAAAGTACACTTTGGAATTACCTGGATTTCTGCATAAATTGGTCATGAAATGTGTTCTGACCTTCGTCTAAGTCACAACAATAGACAAATGCATGAACTAACACCACATAGACAATTATATGTTCTGCAACTGTTGATAACAAAGCTTTGTGTTGTCAGGATGCTATCAGTGTGGATACTCCAGCCCCTTTATATCAATCTTGGGGCACGCACAGGATGATTCTGGCAAATGTCAAGTTTCCACTGAGTGGGATTTGCAGGTGTGTAGGCTAAATGAGAGTGAAAAGAGCGACTGAAATAGCTGTGGAAATATTCTCTGCGGGTTTTTATTTTTAAAAAAAGATGGCCCACAAGAAAGTCTCAGGAGCAGTGACAAAAGTGCTTCAAACAACCAAGCAATGCAGGAAAAGTGGTTAAGATTGCATGACTGTTGAAGTGTGTATTCTGCCCATATTTAGTCATGCTGTATAACTTTCCCATGCCCGCAGCGTAACTTTGCGTCTTTGAAGCAATCATCACTTAAAAATGGTACATTCCTTCCTGGAGACCTTGTAGAGACGCACACATACCAAATGAATGCGCCAGTTGATACAAGCGAAGAATCGCTTTTGGAGAAACGAAAGTCCTGATGCCTCACCATGAGTTTCGGTACCGCCCTTCTGATGATATAAATATGATGTGAATCCCTTGCTTCTTTGCACTCGTGACCACCGCAGCCATTGTCTGTAAACCACGGGTGCCCGGAATATTCTATTATTAAAAGCTTCGAAGAAACTGTTCATCGACTCCAGCCTGTATTTGGATAACCAACATCCTCCTCAGCCGAAATTCAACCAACACGCAGGGGAAAGAAGGCCACTTTGCCCCCAACACTGTCTGTGTCGTATATTATGTGTTGTTATGTTATTTTGTTATTTTATGTTAACTGTTCTGTAATGCGATTTGCTACAGCTGCAGCTGGTGTGAAAGCGCTATATAAATAAAGATGTAGCGTAAATGTTTGGATAATTAAATGGTGGCACATGGTTGGCTTTCTCGCTTGATGCGTCTCCGGCTTTTACTTTGAAATGTAATCAAAATATTATTTGGAATATTTAAAAATGGAACCACCAACTACATCGGGGTGGCTCAGCGATCGTCAGTAAATGACAAGCGGTTCAAAACAAAAACACAGTCAGAGCCACTGGATCTTTATAATTTTTTTTATTGGTGTACTTTGACAATAACAATGATGGTATAAAAGAAAATCCCCATCATACAAATTTCAATAATCAAAAGATAAATATGCCAATACACAAACAGATCCACGTAAGGCTGACATCAAGTTTTGACAAGTGGCTTAGAGGGACTCAAATTCAAGGAGAATGCCCCTCTTTACAAACAAGGACAATGCCATGTCAATAATTCAATCATGAATAATTTAGTGGAGTCTGTTTCTTGACTTTATTGGTTCAAACCCATAGAAAATAACTTGGGAGATTTTGGAGCAGATTGCGTCGCTGGTTTGGGTGCCAGTATTTTTTGTTGCATTTAAAGCACATGGTGTTTTTGGCCTTATAGTGGAGCCCACTCATCAACACCCCAGCTGCTGTCACCCTTGGAGATGTCGTGAGCGGAAAAAAAATACAAAGGCAGGTGCCCACTTCTGCCATGACACGTCTAGTAAATAGCAGCATCTTAGGTGGGTTGGGCCACTTGAATGCAGAACGCATCCGCAAACGTGAGAGGAATCCAAATTTGGGGGAGCGAGGATACTGAAATTTTTTATTTAAAAAAATGCTGTGCTTGGAAGCAGTGATGTAAAAACATGGATGTCATCGCTATGTAAGCTTCATTTAAATGGCACCCGCACCAGCCAAACCCACTCAAAATCCTTGTTCTTTATGCTACCATCTGTAGTTAATTTAAGACCTTATAGATTTTCTAAAACACTACACACAACAATATTTACAATGATCTATAACTTGATATGCACTTATTGAAATTTAAATATTTTTGCTTGTAAAAAAAAAAAAAATGGAAATAAACATTTTGAGTGGAAAACACTGCAATAAATTAAGAAGCTTTTAAGGCTGCCAGTTTTGTCAGATGCCCAAGTATGGTTCCTTCATTTAAACCAGCATAAAATGGATCAGCAACCAGGCTCCGTCTTTGTCTGGACCGAGACCATTTACAGTATGTGTGTGTGTGTGTGTGTGTGTGTGTGTGTGTGTGTGTGTGTGTGTGTGTGTGCGTGTGTATACACACATATATATACACACACATATACATATATATACAGACACACACACGTATGTATGTATGTATGTATGTATGTATGTATGTATGTATGTATGACTGGCCAGCATACTTCTATCGCCAACTGCAAACAAAGACTGTAAACCAGTCAGTCTAAACATTTTTCATTGATCAGAAGTTGGATGAAGCTGCTTGTTCTACATTATTGAAGACAAAGCCCAAGACTGACTATACACGACTCATTAGGTCTCTTCATGTAGCAAGCACCTTTCATGTCAAATGCTTTTGTGAATGCTCCTAACCGAAACCATTTGGTGTTTTCGATATGTCCATTGAGCTTTTAACTTAATGCAACGATGAAGTAAATCATATACAGTGTTTCATGTAAGTGTCAAGAAAAGAACCTGCTGAGTTGTTCACTATCAGGCTCCTCTAAATCATTATCAGTACAGGAAAAGAAAACTACAAAACCTCAACTCTAGAAGGAGTGCAGTTCCACCTCTGGAGGGTTTCGCCATTTCACTCAAACACGCATGGAGAAGCTTTAATCCTTCACACAAATACTGTGACTATTCACGACTGCCACTGAGCACCTCATTAGCGTTTCGTTATGAGCTAAATACGCGCTTTGACACCAAACCAACAATCTGCTGATGGTTGAAGGCAGGAAAAAATTTACCATATTGTCCAAGACCAAGCAAGTACAGTGGAACCTCTGTTTTTTTATACCCTAGTTTTCTCTGAAAAGTTTTTGGGGAGTATTTTTTTTCTATGCCCGTTGATAAAATTTACCAAATTGTGTACGAAAGGTTCACGTATTCCACAATGCAAGCTTTTACAAACAAATCAGAGCAATAAACCTCCAGTCCGCTGTCGCTGTCCGGCATTCAGGCAACCTCTATGTAACGCATCCTCTTAAAGTCAGACATTCAAAATAAAAGCACACTGTATAATAACAGTATCACCACATTTTCTCAGGTCACATTGGGGGCATATTTAGCAGTTGTGTTCGAAAATCAAGCACGCAATAGATTGAATGTGACTGCCAAAATGCCAAATAAAGCGTGGTGAAACTTCTTGGCATGCTTGTATTTTGAAGGCTTGATTTTTGACAGATGTTACGCCGATGTTACCCCAACTTGTCAGAGTGACGCCGAGCAGACCGGGAGGCTTGTTATAGCCTTGAGTTGTTCATAAAAGCTTGCTTACATTGTAAAATGCGCCTTGCCGTCAGTTAAACTTTTTTCTTTTTTTACACAATACAACAAAAAGAGAAACACGGCAAAATTCAAGAAAGAAAACCCTTCCCGACTGTTGGCGCCATGAACAGTACTCAATAAAAATGTTCATTTACCCCCTTCAATAGTCATTTATATTTATTATTTCACATTGTGTGTGTAAATGACTCTATAATAAATCTCTATTGAATGTATTTCTTGTTAATACTTTTGGAAGTCTGGAACAGATTACATTGGAATTGCTATTTCCTATGAGAATTACTGCTTTGGATGTCCGATGAGTTAGTTTCAGTCAGATTCTCTGGAATGATTTCATGAAAACCCAGGTTCCACCGAAGTGCCAAATTATCCCCCCCCCCATTTGTAGATTAGGTTTGATTTGTAGATGTACAACAAGAGGTATTAGTTAACAGGAATGATGAGAATGTTGGTACTGGCACATGTCCTTCGCATTGTTTCAAAAAAAGAGCAATGGAGACTTTTGAGAAGAATACTCCCAAGCAGGCCAACGCTATCATCACTCCGTTTCAAAGGAGGTGCTCAATGAAAGAATTGGAAAGCTCACAATTAATTGGTTTTCTTGCTCTTCCTGCGGTTGTCACACAAAATGGCGTCCTCAGACGTGTCTGCTGAGCAGTTGAACACACACCGTCCTAAATGAGTCCCGGTTTATTTCATCAGACCTCACGTCTGCGTGAAATAAAGCTGCTCCCAGGTATAAACACAGGATCCGAACCTCACAACCCCCACACAAATACACATGACTACAAGATTCAGTGCGTCCAACACAGCCTGTCATACATCACGTCATCATCAGCACATCAACTGTCAAATTATAAAAAACAAAAACAATTACAGAAAATAATCCAGAAGAGATCAAATAAATAAAAAGAGGTCCAGCCTCACTGTGGGAACAACAGTAATTCACCACCCCCAAAAAAATGACCCAAAAAAATAAAATGTATACAAGGCAATATGAGTGAAATGGAGTAGCTTTGTGACGAGAGGACAGCCAGTGAGAGCATGTCTGAATTTGTATTTTTTTTTTAATTTCATTGACCCATATATTTAAGTTGAGGTGGTCAATTTAGTACACACTTAAATCAAAGAAGGGCAATTATTTGACCGCCGTGTACTAGCAGAACGCTGGCCGATGTCCGTGCGCGATGTTCGACTCGCTCGCGACGCGACAAAACAAGCTGACACGGTTGGTAATCGACGAGATAGAAGCTGATGCCTTAAATATTCAGATCTGCGAGAAAGACGTATTTAGTTTTGAAATAATATTACGGAAGGCAGGCATCGATACAATGCTAAAGAGGTTTACAGTGGGCGGGGGGACACTGTGCAATCTGACAAATAGATCAAAAAACACCTGTAAACACCATCTGGACAGTGACAGCAATCAAGTACAGTATCTCTACCTCCAGTTAGCTCATGTGAAAACTTAGGTTATCTCACACACACACACACACACACACACACACACACACACACACACACACACACACACACACACACACACACACACACACACACACAATTGGGTCTGTGATTATGCAAGGCAAACAAAGTGGGGTCTGAAGTCAATCCTGTCACTCTCACTCTGATGACACGACAACTTGATCCATACAAGCCATTTGCATAGGCTCTCCCTCGCTAACATACTCTCAGACAAGAAAGCGGCCATGCAGAGGTTCTGAGAAGACGTCCTCCTTCATGGGGCGGCGTGTTGACTTAGGCAAAGATGCGCCGAACGCAAGCTTTGCATACGCAGTCTGTCTCTGTAGTCCAATGCGAGTGTATGCTAGCACCTGCGCTATTGCATCGGTATGGTGAGGCAGTCGGGTCAAAATTCATCTCTGTGATATTACGGCTTATTGCTAACAGGACGAGAAAACGCTCTCCCACCCACAGCCACTCGCTGGCAGCCATGTACACCCAAAGCAACAACACAAACACAAATATCACAGTCTTCAAATGGTACGTTCACAGGGTAAAATATAGTTGTAAGAAATTAGCAAGGTATTAATATACTCTAAATTTAGCATCAACTATCTCACATATAGATGATTGAACACTCTTCATAGTTCTTTTCATTTGTAGATTTTGGCATACGTTTTGCAGAACCAGCTGCAAGCTCCCACGCGGTAAAATGTGTGTGTGTGTGTGTGTGTGTGTGTGTGTGTGTGTGCATGCAAATATTTTCACAGGACTACTGCATTCATGTAATAAGAAGTGCAAAAGCAAAATAAGAGACCACATCATCACTTTTTAAGTCAAACTGCTGCGCACGTGCAAGAGTGGCAAGTGTGTCTCACGGCCTATTTTGTAGAACTAATTTAAACTGAAGTGCAGTGATGAGTTAATCGCAGACTCAATGAAGGAAATTAATGACTCGATGGGTGTTGAAGGCCAAAATGGTGCAAAAGGCATGTGGACACTGAAGACTAGATAATCCCAGATGAGTGAAGTGGTGGACTGTGGCACAAAAAAGTGCAGCATTTATCCCGATTTTCTTGTATGATTTAGCCAGCACGCGTATTTTGAGTCTTCCTTTTTTTTCTTTTTTTGCATACCCACAAAAGAAAGAAAGCACGAACAAACTAAAAAGCTTTTCAGCAGTGCCGCAACTGGTGAGATATGGCTGATGTCCCAGAGGACTTTTGATTCCCAGGTGGTTTCTCAGTCCAGCTCTGCCTACATCAGTAGTCGGCTACAGGTGCAAGACTTCTGCTCAAGCTGACCGTGACGTTGGTGTAGAGAGGCCTCTTGGACACTAGGGGGGAGTAGTTTAAGTTGTTCAGACCATCCACTTTCTGCCTCTCCTTTGAGTGGCGGAGAAGACTATACCTGCGGGAGCAATCACACAATTCATCACGTTTGCTTTTTTCAAGGTATTTCAGTTTAACTTCTACAGTGAGGCCGTGACATATGTTTGGCTTAAAAGTATACGTTTTCCAGCTATCACATAGACCATATTGTGTCAAAACATTTTTTGACTTGACTTCTCCTTGCCGACGTGTCGGATCGGTACTTGGTAACAGCAAATCTTCAAAATTGGTTTAATCAGGTCCAAAACAATAACATTTGTTGATCACCATCATAAGACACAAATCATCTTTATCCGATGAGAAAAATGACTTAAAAAATAAATTAAATTAATAAAAAATACAGAGTCACTCACAACAGTTGAGAAACTCCTCTTCATTTGTGTCTGAATGACAGTATTCCATTTGGGCTTTGGTGGCCAGTTCATGCACCACATGAGCCACATTGGACAAATGATTTCATTGTCTACATTCTATTTAATTCTATTATATGTTTTTATAAAGTACCGTTTTCTTGAGCGCTAGTTGCCCTTTAAACAAACAAACTTTCTTTTGTTTTGTTTTTTTGGAGAAAGATGGCATGGATTAATGGCACTTCCATTCATTTTAAAGGGGAAAGATGATCTGAGATGCGAGCACAGTCACAGAATCAATTAAACTCGATCTGAGATGCGAGCACAGTCACAGAATCAACTAAACTCGCATTTCAAGGCACTGCATTTGTAAGGTTAAAAGCATCGGAAGACAAATAACATAAAACATGAATAACAAACATAACACAGAATTCCACGCAATGAATGCAACTTGAAATTTCCCAGTCGGGACGACGGTCCCTGAGCGGTTTGAAATATGTCACATGCAAAGTCTTGAAACAAGTTCGAATTCCCTTCAAGTCACCGCTCGGGTTTTTCATGTGACTAGCTCACATGAGCCTAAGCTTCACTCCAATTAGAGTGTGCGAGTGTGCATGCGAATGAGTTTAGCTTGCAACTGACCTCCCCAGGAACTGGACCTCTCCGCGATGGTGGTGTGGAATGGACATGTAGCGCCCCAGCTCTCCGTGTGGTCTGCTTACGGTGTAATTGGCATACAGCACCCTACAAACACAGTCGTCGATGCATGAATACTCCGGTGGTGACACAAATTACCGTATGCTCATAGAATGCCTGTCAAGACTCCGTGCTCAGCCTGGAACATAATTATGGACATACAAGTGCAGTAGCGTATTCAAATCAGTAGAAAAGACCAGTACTGTGTGCGCATAGCTGTATGTGCTCAAACCAAGTGGAAAGACAAATCTGTGTGAACAAGGTACTGTAGATGCAGGGAACGGGGAAAAAAAAAAAAACAAAAAATAAAAACCGGCACACAACCAGATTAGGCGGTTCATCTGTCTCTTGGACATACTTAATGTCATATTGGTCACTTGCCACAATTGGAGACCTTGAGAGGATTGTGTGCGTAGGCGTGTATGTCTCTGTTCTTACCTGTTCCAAAGGTCATCGTCCTCTCCTCCCCAGCCCCAGAATGCATTAGGAAATCCATTAATCCTATTGAACTGTCCCACTCTCAGGCCGCTGACACCGCCAAAGAACTCATTATACGGAAGCCTGAGAGGAACAATTAGACGTATATTAAATGAATATTAAGCTTGAGCCACACTTACTAGAAAACCCCAAGGAGTCAGTATCTGGACTCACATGTACGAGTACTTGTCAAGCTTGACTGCAAAGTGTCTGGGCATGTCCGTGCAGCCATAGTAGTTCCTGTCATTCTCCATGAGGTGGTCCACATCATGGAACACCAGACAGTCCCAGTCCAGATCCTTCATGGCCTCCTTGTAGCCCACATTGAACAACATGGCTCGGTTAAACGGCTCTGTGCCGGCCTGGACGGAGGAATTCAAAATGTTTGATTGATGGAGGAACACACGTGTCCTCTCATTGTGGGAGGGCCACTTGGTTGCAAGATGGAATGAGCACTTCAAAGGCCTCTTTACATTTGAAGGAAAAAAAACAATCTACGACACGCAGAACATCACATGACCGATCAAGCTATAGTATTTTACTCTAATTTAAAGGTGTTTTTGACCAGCTTTTCTATGCCAATATCACACAAAAACAGTTTTCAAAAAAATGGATGGATGGAAAAAAATCGATTTCTCTGGAACCCAACATCCAATTTTCACCATTCTTGGTGTATTCAGGTTGAAGGGACTAAAATTTTGACAGGGTGTCATTTTGAGAGGTCTAAATGCCCGGTGGAAAAACTGTCAAAAAGCTCAATGCGAGCATACCTGCTCAATGACATAAAAGCCAAACTGGAGCCTCTGTTTCTGCAGCACTGGCACGAGATGTCTCAGGAGGATGGGCAGATGCTCATGTCGGTTCCTGAACGGGACTAAGATTGCCACCTAGGGCGACAAAAGGTAGTCAAAGAGACATGAGCTGACATGCATGTGGACTTAGATCAGGAGAAAAAAAAAGATAGCTTATTTGTGCAATGACATTTGGCATTCAATCAATCACGGATGAAGCGGGGCAGTCAATGTCGGTTGAAAGGTGTGTTGTGGAGGTCACACGTGAGTTGCTGCTATTCAAAAATCGCATTTTGAGCTTCCTTTGAAAGTGAATATAAAGCAAACAAAAGTCACATGAATGAAAAGCACACGCAGAGAGCTTATTGTTAGTTGAGAGAGCCAAGCCTGATCTACAGGAGAGTGAATATAATGATTTGTTCGTCAGCGCACTCTCCTGGGGCATTCATTAGCCCCATGAGACATATGGATGGCATGCAGGACTGCTGGACACAAGCAAAGAGTAGAACTCTTTGTTCCATTATTGAAAAAAACGACTTCTAAGCCAACCAGAAGATCAATTCAATGTCCCGGGAGTACAATGAGAGGAATGACTGAGGATATTCACAGGCATGCCCTTTTTTAGCGCTTCAACTTGTCGGGCTTCAAGTGAAATCAGACAGACAGAGAAAGTCGAGTGTGGTCATCAGGGGCCGACTGCAGGCATTTTGGCGAATGCTCCTCCGCACTGTGCGGAGACATACCTTCCAGCGAGGTAAACAGTCTTTGGGCTTCCAGTGGCCTCCTGGGGCAATAGTAGTCTCTTGCAGCAGTGATCGCTCCACATCTTCCAGTGACACCTCACTCATATTCACCTCCAACCTACCCTCTGTGTTTGCAGGAAAAACACACGGGTTGTATAATATGAAAGAGTGGAAAGGAAAACGACAAAAAGCAATATTCGTTAATCATTACAACAAGTGGTTAGAGGAGTAGCACGTAGGAGGGAAAAAGAGCAACGTGATTGAAACGCTTTGACGGTTCAGCGCTTAGAAGCATAATTAGGCACATTAAGCTATTCCCTGCAATGACTTAACATTTGTATAAATCATCAATCAACACAGAAACTGAAATGCCAAAACCTATTGGAGAAAAAAATGTAACAGTAATCGAATTTTTGTGGTTCTTTTTTTAGAGAGACTTTGATGCATCCATCAACCTTTTAGGTCCGCACAGTTGCCCTCAACATTTGCTTTTCAACATTCCATTTGCACGACTGGATTTGATGACGCCGCCAGTATGACAGCTGGAACAATGGCTTGATGTGTAACACAAGTTCATCAAGTTCGGAATGGGTAACCACATTTCAGTAATTCACTTCCTAGAAATCGCTTGTTAGCTTGCCTGACAATTCTGCATTGGTTCCTCTTAACTGTACAAATCAGTGATGATGTCACAGGCAAGTCATGTATTTTGGTTCTGAACTTTCCCAACATGAGGCTAACGTTTGACATAACATTCTTTTGTTTGTATGTTTATTTTGACTCAGCATGACTCAGACATGATCTTAGTTTGACTGTTTGGTGCTTTCTACCGTCCTTGTTACTGATTTATTGCTTTATTGTTGTATATATGATAGTTGCTCCACGTACAGCACTTTGTATGCAGCGATGGCTGTTTGAAAGTGCTCTAGAAATCCAGTTGAGTTGAGTTGACGTGTGGGGCATTGTGTTTGCTGTGTCGCGTCCGAGACGGTAACACGACAGCCACTTTTTTATGTGATCCTTGTGCCTCACTCTGCAGACATGACCAATCAACCAATGGTTAACCCTTTCATGCGCCTTGTAACCTGATAAGATCGTAGAAAGGGTTCCGTCAGTCGTCATCTGTACCTGTGGGTAAAAAACAAAAAACAAAAAAAACGATGTTTCGCTTCTCTCACAGAAGCTTCGTCAGCAGTAGACAACTCTGAAGTCTCCGTGAAGACTCCGGGAAATTAAAAAAAATAATAATAAAAAAAAAAAAATTTTGCTGGAGGGTGAAAAAATATATATATTTTTTTAATTTTCACCCTCTCTGAACCGTGAAGGAGGTATCAGATTTAACCTGTCTCCTATTTACAATAACTTGTTGACCACCAAGGGACATAGACATGCTGATCAGGCTAACTGAAAGTAGCTATTCAGCCCTAGCCCAAACAATAGGCCTAATCAAGACCCAACGATAGGGAATTTAGAAATCAATGGGCCTCTTCACCATAGGGGCGTGACTAACCATCCCCACCCAGTCCTCAAATAGGCCACGCTTAGCCTTTTAGCGCAGAGCAATTTCCTGGAGTCTTCACAGAGACTTCAGAGTTGTCTACCGCTGACGAAGCTTCTGTGAGAGAAGCGAAACATCGTTTTTTGTTTTTTTACCCACAGGTACAGATGATGACTGACGGAACCCTTTCTACGATGGAACTATCCTGTACGACTGAGAGCCTCCACAAGCAACCTGATAAGATGATAAGATGTCCACTGTAGTAACCGTTGTGCCTGAAAGGGTTAATCCAGCTATTACCGTTACACCATCGAGTCAGTGAAGTGTGCATACGTAACAGATGCCAGCTCACAATGTCCAAAATTTCAAAACTTCAGTCCTCGAAAGCCTGAGTAGTGCTAGCCATTGGGTTAGCTGCCCAGGCTCTAAGCCAGTGGGTAGTCAACTCGGCTCTCCACATGGGGAGCAGGGGGTGGGGGGTCCGTGGTAGACCCGCACCAGATGACAACCCTCGCATTTGGGCTCCAAGGTACAATGAGTTCCTAAGTTTTGGTGTGACAAGAGAAGGGATGGTCTGATACAATCAATGGATCAATATCTAGTCTGATCCAGGCCAAAATGACTTGATTTGTATTGGATTGTTTTTATTAGAACCAATCCAATGCAATCCAAAAACCCAAACGATCTCATATATCCTCATCTTCAGGTTACACAAAAAGCCACAGCCCAGACAATCTGTCACGGTTGCCACTTGCCAGGTGCTGGTGTTTTCGTCACGTAAGCAGAAGCCGACAGAGCTGGACTCATTCTTCAGGGGACAAGATTAGTTGTTATACAGTGAACGTTGCTTTTAGATGTCAGTATCAAGCAAATTCCATCTACATATAACAATTTCTACAGTAACAAAAAGTATCGGATCGTATAGGAAAGGTATGGACCGATCCTCCAGGCTGCAACGTTGGTATCAGTGTCGGATATGAAAAAGTTTTATTGAACAATCCCTTGACAAGTGTCATTTTTGCACGACACTTCGGATGCTAAACTCACTGACATGGAATGAAAGATGAATGTAGGTTAATGTACTGTGACTGCAGCAACACTACTACATCAGCCCCAAATATTAGTTTGCAGCACTGCTCGACGAGCATGGATGTTAACACAGTGTACAATCCCACAAAAACAAAAAAACAAAACACGATCGTACTGTATTACTAGATAGTGTGAATGATATTTTTCATTGAATGTTTGTGTTTTATTGCATTATATTCATACTCTAGCCACATATTTGCTTTTCTATTTAAGATGTGTGTTACAAAAGCCCGAAGACAGCTGGGATAGGCTCCAGCACGACAGTGACCCTCGTGAGGATAAGCGGTTCGGATAATGGATGGATGAATGGATCGATAAATAAAAGGAAAAAGATCAGAGAAAACCGGCATTAGTTGCATGCCATTTCAATTAAAAAAAAAAACAACCCCCCCCCCCCATCAGAATATACCCCAGTGTAGTGGGGAGATATGGACATGCCTGGCATGTGAAAAGGGGAAATCCGCATCTAATTAACAGCCGTTATATAAGCAGTGAAAAAATTAATGAATAAAAATAAATAACATTGTAACCCCCAAACATTCTTGAATAAATTGTTACAAATCACCAGAAACATTTCCAATGAAAAACAGAAAAAATGGGTTGCCCCCCCCACCCCAAAAAAAACAAAAAAACAAAAGAATACTTTTAAAAAATATTGGAAAAAAATTTCTTTGATAGGGTAAATGAGCGGGTGCCAAATTGCGGGTTCAAATTGGGGATCTAGTCTGTATTTGTTATCGGGAAATAGAATGACCTATATCATAGACAATTTGGACCATATCGCATCTTCTGTATTATCACATCATATAATGCGAATGACATGAATGATCACATATCTTTTGCATTATTTAATTCCCTCATCGAATGAGCGATAGGAAAATCGGCAAGGAATCGGGTCATCGTTTAGCTGATAGAATCCGAATTGCTAAATTCTTATTAATTCCCATCCCGACTCCCGTGACACCCAAATAACACCGGAAAACGGGACCGGGCCATAATATTAGCGGCACCAAAAATAACCCGGACAACAAATATTTAAGGAAAGCTAAAACTAAATCAACAATGAACTTACTCATAGAGGGTAGCTTCTCAGGGCAAACTTGTGAGTGGAGGTACGTGAAGCCCTCGGGGAGGTATGCAGTGGGAGGGGCATCACTCTCACTCATGTTAAAGTCATAAGAGTAATCTGGAAACAGGCACAGATGTCAGTTCGTGTCTTAGAAAGTATTATTCGTGCATGGGCAGTCCACAATCCTCATAGGCCTCAGTGTAGAAAGATGTATGATGGGTTAGGTACCTGTGCCATTGCTGTAGGCACCTCTCACCACCTGCTCCAGGACCTGAGCACCGATATTCTTCACATTTTCTCTGATCCGGATCCCTCTGGCTTGGACCATGAACACATACTCGTTCACTGTGGAAAGAGACACAGACGAACGTTAGGTTTGTGCTCCCACTCATTGTGTTTCGTCCGAGCACATTCAAAGAAGAACTCAGGCTGATGTGGATGGAAGAGCCCACAATAGTCCGTCAATGCGAACCAAAGTCTGACACTTTCTTTACAGATACAGTAATATGTAAATGTAACCATTGCTCCCCAAATCTCCTCCCACTCCTGAATTCTCACCGGGAGCTGTTTAGTGTAATTCACTCTTAAGCCATCAGCCAGTAAGCTATTAATTATTGGATCGACAATAGCAAACAATGAGTTCAAAAATTGAGTGGTTAGATTATATCCATCTCTGGTGTAGATATCCCACAGACCCCAGGTACTGTACACTCTATTTTATGCTTTCAATTATTAACATTTGGCCAAGCAGAGAAAAAATAAATCTTGTGAAACTCATTTCTAACTATGAGAAATATAAGTGACAATGACTTGGCCAATGAACTTGTGTTAAACAGCAACACGTGTTCAAGTAAAACTTTTCTGATTAATTTAGTGTACAGCAAAGCTTGTACAAACATGACCCGCTCTGTGTCAGTGCCAACACAACATGAGTTTGATCCATCTAGTAATTACAGTATATACAATTTTCCTCTATATTTGACATAACTACCGGTACTCTCATTGCCAGAAGAGCAACTTTAAAAATTCAATTGTAACTTTAACAGGGTAATTTTTATACTTACTAACACCTAATAATGAATTCCTCACATTTCTGCGTTGCGTTAAACAGAGCTGTTCCAACATTAGCATTTACCTACAGAGTACGAAAGCTAGTGTTTAAAACCCAAAAACAAAACGTGTCGTAGCTGACCTCAAACTGCCCCTGAAATATTTTTCTCTGCCTTGGTGACTCAATGAAGGGAATTTCCTGACATGGGGGTGGGGGGGGGGAACGTAGACTTCAAAAATGTGTTCCGACGAACATAATCATAATTTGTGCCCAAGAGGCCTTAAATTCTTGTTATTGTCACACTTACCTGATATGCGTTCATGTTTGCAGACCATGCAGAATACTGAAATAAAGGGAAGCAACAATAATTCAGCCATTCAGTCTTCACTCAATTGGTTTTCCCCTTTGTTTTTTGGGGGGCGGTGGGGGGGGGGGGGGGGGGGGCTAAGGAAACGAAATGGAAAGGATGAATGAATTGACTGCTCGGGTCTGTCATAATATAATTGCTGTGTGTTCCCTTGTTAGGCAACAGACATTCATCTGCTGACTGTGAGTCATCAATGATGATTTGTAATGGAGGGAAAAACGGGCACTAACAGGATAAAAGATAAAACATATGGTGCAGTTGTTCTATCAGTTGATGGAATGCCAGATAAAAACTCACCGATAGACTGATTGGGCAAATGTTGAGCAAGAACACTTTCACATTATTGCAGTGGGCAAAATCATAAGCCAACAGATTTCTGATATTTTTAACATGAAAGCATGAGATCAGGGAAACAAGTGACGGAAAAAGCAGTAAGGCTGGTCTTGGTCTTACAGTTGATTACTCAAGTAGTAAACTGTTTCCAAAGAAAGCAGTAAAAGGAGAACTACCTCCCTGTCGTCGATCACAGGTTTAACATGTGGTCCTGAATAGGGGTGGAATGATACATCTATTTGATGTGTCTGCCCTGCGATCGAGCAACATCGATAGGCACTGGATTCGTGCACATGGAAAAAATGGCAAATGAGACTACTTGGCCACAACTCTGAACAGTGTTTTGACCACTTAGATTTTTTGTTTGACTGGGAAATATATGCTAGCACAACACTGCTACAGTTGAATGGCTTCCTCTGTGAACCTGCAACTCAGCACAATCCCTCCACCACTAATCCAGAGCAAGCAATCCCAACATGATGCGCACCCCTTGATGAATGCACGTGCATGTAATTGTCCATGTGCATGCGAGTAATACCATTGAGCTATAAATCCACGATGAGATTTGTCATCAGTAATTGTATTTCCGTTTTCATCCCATTCATCTTGTTCAGCACAAAGTGCCTACCTTGCAAGACAAGACACTCGAGGTGAAACAGCGACTTCGACAGAAGTTATCAGCATTAAATGGGAATCAGAGAAAATTCTGTATGTCTGTATCCAAGTATGTATATGTAAATAACATGACAGACTCAGACCAACACACTCCCGAAAATAATTGCACCTCTTGGAGCACCACCGTTAAAATGTCTCTCACACACGCACAATCTCTCTAGTTGATGACACTCTGATGCCATATGATGGAAAATTGCTCAGAGACTTCTGGCATGTGACCCAATCCTGCAGGCACCAACCTACTTTGACAAGTGTCCTTTCCATGACTGCCAAGCATATATGGAGATGGCACTCCTGCTACGACATACAAGTGAATGCTTGGGTTGCGCACTTGACATTTTATTTATCAAGGTTGAAAATTCTGACAGCGGATATAAGTGTTGAAAAGCGTACCATTTAAATGTTAAAAAAAGGGGTACAGCAGACAATGCGAATAGCTGACGAACAGTCCAAGTTGTATCCCACCGCTCGACAAAAAGTCAGATGGGATAGGCTCCAGCTCACCTGCAACCCTAATGAGGAGAAGCGGTATAGAAAATGGATGGATGCATGGGTCGAAGTCCAGACGATGACAGTCAAGCCTGAACCCTCCCCTCAACAATAAACATGGCAGCCGTAAAGCAGACAGAATGACGTAGCAACTTTGTTAGCCTGGTGAAGGTCACTCTATTTATGGTAGAGCTGGGCGGTGACAAAATATATTGCCAAGACAATAGATAACATTTTATCAGGTCACTTTTTTTTACGATTGTCTTTTCGTCATTTGTCAGCTGCATCAAACTGCATGCAACTAATCCGTCAAATAAGCTTGATTTGATGGGCAAAGGCTTTCACTGAACAATTTTATGGCGCACTGCTGCCACCAGGTGAAAGACTGAACAATACAGGGAAGTGAATCACAAAACAGTCATTGTACATAACAAACCTACGGTGCAAAGTTAAGTCTAACAAACAATGAAAATGAGTAAATAACGAGATGAGTGAATGCAAATAAATATTACTGTGTTGGGAAAGAATAGACTAACAACAAGTAATTTGTAATTATGAAAAACGAATGCACTCGAGGCATGCTGTGTATGCCCTCAAACTAGACAAGCATAGCAGTTTTTACTTTGGGCCTCTTCAAAACACAAAGAGCAGCATTTTTTCTGTTTTTCCCAAAATTGAACGGTGGAGATTTACCCCAAAAAACTTTGGGCTGGTTATGTCGGCTGCAGCCAGGTAGGTGGCAGGTTGAGGCAAGACGCCGCTGCAGCTAGCGATAGCAAGTTTAGCAATGAGGTTTGGTTGATTACCACCGCCTGCTAAACATGTTGCTGTTTCACTGCTAACTCAGCAGTCACAGCCTCCATATCTCGCCTCCATGGCGATGTATGAGCTACACTTCTTACAAGTATCGTTTTCATGAAGGGATTACAAGGAGTGATTAATCAGAGGGAAAGCCATAGAATCCATGCTAATTGCTAAGCTAACGTTATGCCATCGTGAAAGACCAGAATTAAAGTGCTTGGGTAACCTCACAGAGGTCTTGCTGTAACCACGTTAAAGTGGCACGTATCCAAATTTGAGGAGAAAAATAGCAGGAAATTTAAGTGTTGGAGAGAAAATTAATACAAAATAATACGACACGCAAAGCTAAACAATAAATGTTACGCTGTTCTGTCTGTCAGCCAGGAAGAGAGGCCTAGAAGATTAAATGTATGTTCATATTGAGGATACGTGATTACAAAAATGGATGCAGATAGGATATTGAATGCATACAATGTTAAAAATGTGATGTGCTTTCACAATACAGTTCTTAATATTGATTTTGACTTTTGAGATCTGCAAAATAAATGTTTTCAAAATTTCAGTAAAGTCCACCATTTTCTATCAGCAACATTATTTTTTATGCCTCTTATTTTAGTTTGACATATAACCAGTACATTTGTGAAAAATATGTTCTGTACTTCTGTTTACATTTGATAACTTTATAGAGTAGCACCACTGGATACATTTAACATTTGATACAGGTCTGTTTAGTGTCACTCCAAAATAAAGTCATAGTCTGTTGTATATTTGGTTTTAGAATAACTGAAAACATATTGCTGTGTATCATTATCATGATATAAAATTGTCACTATCGTGATAGATGATTTTTCTGATATCACCCAGCACTAATTCATGGCCCACCACTGTACAGGGTTGCATTCGAGGGATTTTCAAATTGTGATCAATCAACAACACATTCCACACAATCTTCATCATTCTCAGTGGTCACATAACCCACGAATTGGTTCTAATTTCCATTGCGGGTGACTACGGTGTCATGCTGCATACTTCCACTGCACAGTAAGCAAAGCATAAAGGCCTGGACATTGTCATGTTTTCCTTGAAAAATTGTGGGCACTCCTTAAAGCACAGTGACTGTATTCATTCAAGGGTTCAGCTTGCGGGAAATACTCTTGCAGGAGACAGATAATGTCAACATTTGATTCCGTTTCCAGCAAAGCAGCATAGACGCATCTCTGTGGAATGAAGTAATGGTGAGTGCAAGGCATTGGAGGCTACAAACAGTGACAAATGCAATTAGACACATGAGACTCGGCGTTCAGAGGAAGAAAATGTGGCAGTCGACAACACAAGGCCACTTGTACCAGACTGAGCACTGGCAAAGGTATGTGCATGGGACGATAGGCATGGAACTATATCCAAATGTCACGATACAATATTATCACGACATGAACCTCACAATATGATAATTACTACAATATTGTGGGAGGTTTGTGATATTATAAAAAAGCAAAAACCTTCCTGTAATCATAAAAAAAAGTCATAGTACTGAGAAAAATAAAACCACAAAATTGTGTTTTTGTACATAGCAGCACTGACAGAGAAATACGCTTGGCCAGTCACTTTATTGCCACATGTCTCTTTTGG